CAATCTTTTATGAGGTGGCCTAACTTTTTACAGGAGTAACACCTCATTTCTTTAATGATTGGACCTGCAAAAACTTTAAGTAAGTCAATCTTCTTTTATTTGCCTTTGTTTTCCATTTCATCTTACTATTATTGGCTCTCACATGAGATATAAAGTGAATCGACTCTTGTCTCATCTCTTTTATTCTCACCTCTTCCTGCACTACCATAGCCTTAATTTCCTTATAGTCCCATTTATCTTTAATGGTGTTATAGTTCACCTAGGATTGGCCAAACTCGACAGGTAGGGAGTTCATGCTGAATAAAATTATAAATGAGTCTATCACATTCATTCTCATGTTTGCAAGTTTAGCTTATATGTTGAACATGTTAGACACGATACCATGAATGGAACGGAATTAGTTGAACTTTTATAGTGGTGAGTTCGATCATGAAACTTTCCACAATAGACTTTTTTCCGTAACTTTAAATGAAGATAGTTCCTTGATTTTTTTTATTTAGGAATTCTATTGAATTATCAGCCTTAATGTTATCCGTCACGATTAATTTCAATAAAATTCAAACACAACCTATTTGATCGCTCACATACCCTACGAAGAGTTACCTCTACTTCGGAGCTCTCACCAATAATGGTTGTGGGCACTTCATCAGGAATTAGAGTATATTCAAATTCAGTGCACCTAATTAAAAATGTATATGCTCAAACCATTAATTGAAGTTCAGCCCATTGAATTTTTTCAATAATAATACTTGACGGAAAAATTAAATTTAAACACTGCAAACTTTGATACATGCTAATTAAGCTTTGAGAGAAAAAATTAATGGATTCAGAAATCTGTTAAATTATATATTTAAATATACCTTTGGGCAAATACTTAAATATATAATATACTTGATTGATGCCTAAGAGGAAAAATCTTTAATAGAAATTATAGGGTCTTGTGATTAATTAGCGGTTATCTTTGGACAAAACACACTATTTAACCTAACTTTAATTATAATTTCTCTTTTAAATATCCAGCCTTAATAGAAATCATACAAATTTGAGTCAACTAGCGGTATCTTTGGACAAACACGCTAATTAACATCGCTTTAATTATAACTTCTCTTTTAGATATTAATCTTTAACAGAAATTATATAATTATGATCAATTAGTGGTTATCTTTGGACAAACACACTAATTGACCTAACTTTAATTATAATTTCTCTTTTAGTTGTCACAAACTATAAACACATGGCCCACCTTTGGGTGTCCTCCTGGTTTATAATTCATGACATCAATTATTCGAATATATAATTTGAGAAACTTTAAAAAAGACATCCTTTTATATTTGAATAATGATATTTTTCATCTAATTTAATTATCTACTCCATAAATTGAACTAGGTCACTTTGGTGACTAACTAGTTCCTTTACATAGATAATTAATACTTTTATCTAGTTTTAATTATCTATTCCATAAATTAAACTAGGCCACTTTGGTGACTAACTAGTTTCTTTACATAGATAATATAATTAGAAAATAATTTTATTTGATTAAATATTATGAGATTATAAAAAACTATAACAAATCTCTATCAAGGAATAGAACCAACTCTAATATAGTTCATATAAAAATTTGAGATAGAACTAATAAAGCCTTTAAAAACTAATCGCCTTCATCAATCTTAATTGCTATCATATAGTTCTATTATGACTAATTGAAAATTAATGCAAAGCACTCAAGAAATCCAAATACATTACATGGATAATTACATGCATAAATTTATCAATTTAATAGCCAAGAATACATGATGGTCAATCATTGGCAAAACAATCAGCCCCAGCAATTGAATATGATATCAATTCATGGCAAAAAGCAAATAAATCACATCCAAGTTTATCTACTAATCCATCATGTGGAAGGATAACCAAGTTCCTTTAAATTGATTCGGCAATTATTTGATGGTTTTCTGAGTGCCAAGAATCTTATTTCGCAGCAAACTTTAATCGCATAAAATATATAATATATCACAATTTATATTCGGCAAAAGGAATTCACACGGGTATGCTATAAAGATTTAATTGGCAAAATAATCATGCATAAACACATGCTCTGATACCACATGTGAGAATTTAACGGGTATATTCATATACTGTTAAGCGGAATTGAATAAGCCCTAAGCATGTAATTCTATTAATTCATAGAACATGGATCTTTGCATAAATTAAATTGCACATAGAAACTTACAAGAATCCAGCTATAGTCCTTCCCTGTTCATCTATGATGTTGATCTACGATCATCTTTTTTTCGTAATCTTCAATGATGGATTCGTCTCGTAATCTCCAACAATAGATTCGTCTTTGCCTATGAATTAATTGTTTCTCTCTCCCTCGTCTCTCGTCTTTCCATAAAGCCCTTAATGTTGAGAACTTTATTTCGTATGAGATGGGAGAGAGGGGCATGTAGTAATATATATAGGAGGAGACCTACAATCCTATTCCTACTAACATTCCCCATGTTCTAACCTAACTTACTGTCCAAGTCAAACATCACACATTGGACTCTTTAATATTAGAACATTAAATAATCTATTAAATACATATTCATCTTTAATAAAGTTTGACTATTAATTCAATTAGGTCTAACTAATTATATGGTCCACAATAATTGAATAATATATAAAATATTATTACATTCTAATGAAAAACTCATTTCGACGGAATAATCCGTTGGAATTTTTGTTGGAATAGTTCCAACGGATCAACGAAAATTCTGACGGAAGCTATATCATTGGAATATCTTCTGTTAAAATTTCCATTGGAATATAAATTATCGTAGGATTTTCTGTTGGAATATGACATTTTTTTAGCGTATCACATTATTTGATATGAAAAAATCATTATTCTTCCACTAATTTCTCTTTCGCCGATCAATATTTCTTCCTAATGAAAATATCCCATACCGTTTAATATGTCTACGAATTGATTGGCAGACTATTGTACATGGTGAGTTATCTATACGTTCAAATATAGGGAGATGCTACAGTTATACTACGGTACCATTCTATTAAAGTTTGTAACTTTTAGATCATCATGCAACCATCAGAGATAATTGATCTAACGATTACAAATCCCGACGAAATAGTTCCGTAAAGAGACCGTAGCATTTCCCTCAAATATATATCACGATATTTTGACATATATATATCCTCTTTAGATGAATATATTCTATTTGGTCCCACATCAAAACTTTTCTTGGTAATTAGCTTTGTAGTACATCACACAATCACCATTTCACGTTCACCCAAATAATTTAAACTGTACAATGTTAACATCAGTTTAGGCAAAAGTCTAACCTCATTATCGTACGAGATTCCAAAAGATACAAATTCCACAATGAGGGAATAAATAAATAAATAAATAAATTATATTTTCCAACTCGTGAGTATTTTTTTTTATTTTTTTTATTTTGATATCTCACACGTCCCTCCAAACATCACACACCCCACGAGTAGTACTTACTGAGCAGCCTTGTGGACCCCAGACGAAATGGGCCCCGGCCCTCTTAATGCTATCATGCAATGCGACAACCAGCCCAGTAGGCCCACTTTCGACTGGTCAACTGCATGTTTCCGTAAAATCCGAACTGGAATCGGGCTGGGCTTTTCAGTAAATTAACATGGGGTACAGAAAAACGAGGGTAAAGGCCCTGCCTACTGCCCCAGCCAATTACAAAAGATTCAGTTTTTGGCGGGCCCACACACATTTTCCTTTTTGTTATTTTTAAATAAATTAATTTTGCTATTTTCCGATAAAATATAAAGACTGTTTGGTGTCCCCAGCTGAGCCGAGCCAGTGTTTCAGATTTGCAGACCCCTGTCCACTGTAACGGCTACTTTCTCTCTTGCCCCACATTATTTTAGTGAACCATCGTCATGTTTTATCATTTTTTTTTCTTCTATTTTCCATTTTTATGGTGTGTTGTGTACTTTTATTTTATGTGTTCTGTACTTGTATATTATTTAGTTCTAAAATAAAAATATCAATTGAGAAAATATGGTTGTCTAACATCACCATTATTGTAATCGTGTTGAATTGAACCTGTTATTTATGTTCTTAACAAAATGTCAATACATTATTGGTGAATAAGTGTGGCTGAATCCATAAGTCGAGCCATCCAATGGCTCCATAGCAAAACTGCTTAAACCGATTATCAGAAACTATTTGTGAATAACCGTGGATGGTTCCACAAGCTGAGTCATCCGATGGCTCCATAGCAAAACCGCACTACTAAGTGTTAGTATATTAATGAGGTGCAACTTGACTTGTTTTGCCTGGAATTTTAGTAGCAAATGGCAATCTAGTGACAAACTGCAAAATCAATCCAAATCTTTCTACTGATGTTTTAGCTCGAGGCCAAGAAAAAGTAGACAATTGACAAGTTGTACTACTTTTAAAGACGTGTGCAACGAAAGCATTATATATTATGTATTCACAAAAATCAATAGCTAACTTGGTAGCAAAATTTGCCTTAGGAATCCAAATGATGAAGAGTATTAGTAGGTAGCCACTTGAGGAGGGAAGAATGCATAGCTAGGTTAATTTTTAGCATTTTTCCTGGTCATCCTTGATGCATAGCTGAACTAAAAAGTAAAAAAACAACCCCATAGAGCCATAGGCCATAGCAATAATTGAATATTTTGCAGCTAACATAATGAACAAATTACAAATGAACACGACCAAAACCCAAATAGAGAACAAGAAACATGCGTAA